ACAGCCACACGCAAGCCACCGCAGATGGCAAAGTGGAAGCAGGAGTCAAGAGATCAAATGATACTTTGCATTGGCCACACCGGCTGCTCAAGCCATCTTTTCAAGTGTTGAAAAGCACCTGACCCGAGCCATGACATTTTCAATGGTCTCATGTATGCTGAAAGCTAGAAACTGAGTAAGGAGGACTGAAGACAAATCGATGCATTTCAACTACAGTGCTGGCGAAGAATACCGAAAGTTCCACGGACTGCCAGAAGAAGAAACGCAACTGTCTCCGAAGAAATCCAGCCAGAATGCTTCTCAGAGGAAGGATGGTGAGACTGGTCTCACGTGGTTAACACATGTTTTCAGGAGAGACCAGTTGTGGAAGTTACATAATCTATTGTCAGTGTGAGGCTTAAGAGTGAAGGGGTGAAGTTTAGTCTGTCAATTGAATTACAGCTTGATGACCTCATTTAGAGGCATTATGGAGATAACATAGCTCGTTTGAGGTGGGACACATGCTCACTCCCTGAGAGCCTTTCTACTGACAAGACACATGGAACTACACTAGTGCCCTGAGATGGAGAAGCCACAGGGGGACTGTTTGGGCCGGGTCCGGACCAACGCAGCCCCTTGTACTAGCTTCTCAAGAAGACAAATGACCTGGCTGAATTCCAAAGCACCTGAACTTCAAAGCACCTGCCTTCAGCGTTTCACAGAGCTTACCTCCCTGGACAGAACACAGCCCTGCTCTCCCTAGCATTGTTTCCTAGGAACAAGATGACCTCCCCAGACAGAACACAGCCCTGCTCTCCCTAGCATTGTTTCCTAGGAACAAGATGACCTCCCCAGACAGAACACAGCCCCGCTCTCCCTAGCATTGTTTCCTAGGAACAACATGATTTACTGACAGGACATCACCTGGCCCGAAACTTGTAACCGCAGCACAAAGAACCCCCCTTCCCCTTACCGGCTCATATGCCTTTAAGCTCATACCCTATCTAAGTCCCACTGCCTCACTGTCAGGTGCGACTTCCCTGACCTAACTCCTTGCTCAAGATGCCCCCGTCCTTTTCCCTGCCCTCCTGTCCCTCCCTGGAGTTGTTTCCCTCCCTCAATAAAATCTTTCTCAACTTCACATTCCTGGCTAAATCCTATCTCTGTTCCACGCCTCCATCTCCAACCGTTCAGCGACCTCTGCCAGCAGTGAGATGCCTACAATGCCACTGGGTCCACAAGAATTCCCACCCACTGGCCCGTGATCTTCCTGCATTCGGCATCATTGCATGTGTTTCGTGAGTCTGAAGAGGACTTTATAGATTGGTACCATACATACGGGCTACTATTGGACGTATGGACTTGATCTGGACTGGGCTGGGATGTTTTCTCAATATTCCATTACTCTTGCATATAAAGCTCTTTCTTATACACATGAGTCTCCCTGGATTTGTGTCTCTAGTCTACCCAGATCAACGCACCAGTCCCTGTGGAAAGACATCCTGCTTGGTAAAGTAGGGGAGCAGCGAGAAAGAGGAGGCCCCTGGACAAGATGGCCTGAACCATAATCCACAAGCTGAGGGTGGTGCAGGACTGGGCAGCATTGTTCTGTTGTGCACCAGGTTGCCAGGAGTCAGAATAGATTCCACAGCACCTCCCCCCACCAGCAGGTTTTGTCTTGCATTGTGTTTCAACGAACTCATTAAAGTGCAGTGTCAACAATTCCTGGTCAACGTCAACAATTCCTGCAGTGTCAACCATTGTCCTGGGTGCGGGGGACCCAGGACAATCGCCATAAAGGCTCCGTCCCTGGTTCTGGGAGGAACCATCACAGAGTTGGGCTGGACCCGCGGGTGTCAGAGCTGCCACCGCAGGAGGTAATCCAGAAGGTTTAGCTCTGCATCAGTGCTCTACTTCTGTCAAGTCTGCTGGCCAGTCATCTTCCGTCCCTGCACCTCAAAAGGCAAAGGGAAGTGCTGTGGTTTCAGCTGGAAAGCAGCAGCGCCGAGGGGACCTGCGCATCTCGTCTGCATTTACCTATTTTCTGTGTGAGCTCCCCGATGCTTCCGTCTTTCACATTAATACACACACAGAAGAGTTGGACAGAAATAAGGTCCTTGTCCCCTCTAGGCTGTTCTTATGCTCAACCAACTCATCCGTTCGGGAATGCCAATTCGATTTTCATTCTCCACTAAGAATTCTCTCCCCAGCACACACTAATGCTCTATTGCCATTGGAGGCTGGTAAAGAGCTCATCTCCAGAGTCAACTGGATAGTTTCAAAGCTGATAGCTAGAACGCCAGCCTCTGATTAGAGAGATCTTTGTTCCTATGTGTTAGCAATAGCGGGCTCAAGCAGAAGAGCCATGTGAGGATGGCGCAGGCCTAGGAGGGGTTCCGTTCTTTGGCACACGTGGTGGCTGCTTTGAGAGCCGACAACAGAACCCAATGACAATAGTTTCTGGGTGGCACATATGGTCAAGTGCTCAGCTACTCGGTGAAAGGTTGGTGGTTCAAAACCCAGCCAAAGTGTCTTGGATGACGGGACTGGCCGGCCACCTTCTTTCAAAAGGGCATAGTCCTGAAAACCCTATAGAGCAGTTGCCCTTGGGGTGAGAGGGAGAGAGGGAGGGGCTCTTGATAGCAACAGACAATACCAAATACATATTTTTAGACAGAATATTAGTATAGCATTAAAAATACATTTCCCATCAGGACTCACTAAAATCTTTCATAAGTGTATATAGTTCTCATTTTGTAGAATATACATACATCTTGAATAAGTGTGCTTTCAGGTAGCATTTATTTTATTTAAGGAGCACTATGCATTGGGTTGCTAACCACAAGGTCATGAGTTTGAAACCACTAGCTGCTCCTCAAGAGAAAGACCAGGCTTTCTAAACCCAGGGAGAGTTACAGTCTCCGAAACTCACAGGGACAGTTCTACCCTGTCCTATCGGGTGCTGAGTCAGAATAAGACACGATCACAGCGCAGTTTTTTCGTTTTTTCAAGTGACACAACATTAAGCATGGCGCTGCTAACCAAAAGCATGAGCCCACCAGTTACTCCATGGGAAAACACGGAGGCACAGGGGTTTCTGAGGCTATACAGCCTTATGGCTCTGCTCTGTTCTAGAGGACCATTATGAATTGCATTCAAGAGGCTTGCAGTAAAGCCACGTGCTCTGGTCTGCCTGGCAACCACGCCTCTGTGTCTACATGGCCAGCGTCCTCACGGGCCACAGTTATTTACTCAGGGGAGGGGCTCAGGAGGACCAATCAGAAGCAATCTTGAGTTTTTTGCTTGAACTACTTGGAACCTTAGGTTGCGGGAGTAAGTAGGGTAGAGGGGTGGTGCTAAGCTAGAATCACAAAGCCCGGGGCATCTGTGGGTTTCCTTTGCTTCCCTGTGGAGAGCCTGGGATGGATACCACCCAGGATGGGGGCAGGAGATGCACACGCAGACCTTCCAATACTCTGATGTGCTTGGTTCAACTCAAGCTTAGCCGGCTTCCAACTTACCAGTGGGCTCTGGAAAACATACTGTTTACCTGTACTTGCTGGTGCGGCCATGAGGTTAGGGTCCTAAGCTCACTACAGGCACAACTGCTGCATAACCTGTCTGGTCTGCCCACAATGACCCCCTTCTCGACTCCCTTGCTTGAGTCGACAGAGAGCAGACCCAAGAACCCACAGCCAATCTGTCAGCCACGTCGGTGGGCTCCAGCTTCACAACGTGGCTTCCTCAGCTGCTTCTCACCACCTGTGCCGCTGCCCTTGTCCGTACTGTCACCTTCCTGGACTTAGTTCAGCTGGACCCCAGCTGCTCCTCCTGCCTCTGTCCTAAATCTATTTTCATCACGGCAGCCAAGTGATTCCGTTGCAACGGATGTCCACTGGTAACACTCCTCTGCCTGAAACTCTATGTAGAGAGACGGGCAGAGTGTTTACAGTGATCCACAAATTGAGCCAACTTCTCTCTACCTCATTTCCTCCTGACCCCTTCTCCCTGGCACCCATGTGCTCCAGACACACTGACCTCCGTCCTGGCTGTGCCTGCCTCGGGGCCTCTGCACATGCTTCCTTCTGCTTGGAACCCAGGACAGAGCCCACCCGACTCCCTCCTCATTCATGGCTTGCTCAAATACCACATCCCAGGGAGGCTGGCTTTGATCATTCAGCTTTAAACAGAACCCTTGCTCCCAACCCCGAGAATGCCCCTCACTTTTCAGAATTTACGCTTCTCCATTACACACTCACTACCATCCTGAGGCATTTTAGATCTAACGTCTACGTTCCCTGAGACAAGGGATTCTTGTTTGGGGGCTCACTGAACTAGCCTCGGGGCCTCCAAGTCTGTCTGTCACACAGAGGGGCTGGAAATTAATTGCATGCATGGGAATAAGACATCAGTTTGTCACTGGTGAAGAAAAAGGACAGAAGTCACCCAGCCTTCATCTGAGAGCTGAGAGCGCCCAGGCTAACCCGGAGAGCCAGCTAGAGAAAATCCGCAGCCAGTCAGCCAGCCACCCACCTCACAGAACTTCAAAGTCATGAGAACCAGTGACAATATAAGGAATGGCCGTACAATATGCTATTTATGTTACCTATAGAAAATGTTACAATATGCAAATTTTTCCTATCACTCAATTTAGTTTTTAGCAGAAGGCTATTAAAAAAGAAAGAAAAAAAATCTGCTCCCAGACAGTTTGCTGCGGGGCTGTGTGCAGGAGTAAGATCTCCAAGAAATTGGAAACGTTACAAAGTTACAAACTCATTTTGCAGGTTCAGAAACATAAGTTGCAAGTGGAAATGAGGTTGGAATCGAGCAAGCAGCAGAGATGGCGTTTAAACCTGGAGGGTCTGACTCCCAACAAAAGCCTCATTGGGGCCTACAGCCAGCAGCACACCATTGGAGCCTCGGCCTCACCCACCCCACCTGCTCCCCCAGGGGTCACCCTGCTCCCCGGGCAGCGAGCTACCAGTGGCCCCTGGCCGGTCCCCTCCAGCCCACCTACTCACCTCCAGTAAACGAGCACAGCAATGAGCAGGATGAGGCACACGAAGGTCAAGGCTGATACCACAATCAGAGGGATGATCCACTCCATCCTCCCTGGAGAAGGGCGGCTGATTGTTCCAGAGGTGTTCTTTTCTGCTGCTGCAAAGAGAAACCATCTCCGTCAGAGGCCAGGGGTGAGTGGAGCTGGGGACCCAGCACGAGCCGAGGCGGAGCTGTACTGCAGTCCTGTGCCGGGAAGGAGCGAAGCCTCCGAACTGGGCCCATTTGCTCCCGGCAGCCGAGACAGAAGTGGCACCCTGTGGCCCACAGCTTCTCACGCAGGCTGCATCCTGCACCTGCCCTGTTGGATGTGCAGGTGGAGTCCAGTGTCTTTAAAGGAGAGTCATGCTGCACACACAGACTTCCAGCCTCAGGCTGCATGCACAGGCAAGATGGCCTACTGGAGGGGCGGGGAGGAGGGACGGAGAGCTTCCTGGATTCACCTGGTAGGGAGGGGGTTGGCACAGTGGCGATTACCAGCATTATCACCTGTGGCTACCTTAGCCACCTGTTTTCTTTGCCTGTTTAGAAGCTGTTTCCACATCTAGCAACTGCACCCTGATTTTGCTTTGGGGAAACCATCCCTCGCTCTCGAAAAGATATCGTCAGGGTAGGACAACCATCCAAGTGTGCGCCAGGACTCGGAGCTAGGACCCGGGCTCGCCGTGGAATCTCTCACCTCAACCACTGCGGGGAAGCTCAGTCAGCCAGCTCCTCCTGCGGCTGCTTGCCATTACGGAGACTCACCGCCCCACCCCACCCCCGCCAAGGTCTGGCCCACCCTCAAAGCTGGCCCATCACCTACTCCCAACGCTTCCAAAGGCTCCAAGAAGCCAGGCCCTGCCCTTGTTCCCTGGCACCCCACCCCACCTGTTACCTGCAAATGGATTATGACTCATGGGGACCTCACGGCAAGAACTGCCCACAGGGTAGTCTTTACAAGAGCAGACGGCCCCATCTGCCTCCTCAGAGCAGAGAGGGGGTTTGAAACACCAACCTCGTGGTTAGCAGTGAAGTGCTTTAACCAGTGTGCCACCGAGGCTCCTTTCACGGCACACCAAACCAAACCCACTGCCATCGAGTGGATTCCAACTCCTGGCGACCCTATCGGACAGGGTAGAACTGCCCCTGCGGCGCTGAGACCTGAGGTCTTTACGAGAGGAGGAAACCTTCTGCGAAGCAGCTGGTGGTTTTGAACTGACCTTGGGATTAGCAGCCCAACATGTAACGGCTGCGCCACTGGTGCTCCTTCCAGGGTACGCAGGCCCTCTCAGTAGCAGCCTCTGAGCGCACAGGGCACGGGGGCGTTTGCTTTCTGGTCAACAGTAGATGCATCTTTCCCCAGCAGCTCCTCCAGGCCCAAGGAACCTCAGCAGAAGCAGCTAGGGCTCCCTGACTGGGGGGGCAGATGCCTAGAGACTTCCAGGTGGCCCAGATGGTGGGAAGGTACCAAGTGGGGCTGGCAGCAGCACAGAGGCAGGGATGGGTGCAGGCGAGGAGGAGACAAGGGTTTGCTGTGACCCAGGGAGAAGCCCCTGTAAATCCCAGTGCAGACGGATCTGCACTCAGCAAGGCTGCCTCGCGCTCTGCAGAAACCAGGCCAGCACTCTGCTGGCCGGGCTGGGCTTCCAGGTGCAGGAAGGTGGGCTGAGCAGGAGGGAGAGAAATGGCCTCGGGCCCAGTTTTTTAAAGAGGCCAAGCTCCCAGCTGAAGACGAGCAGGGACTTCAGCGGCTCTCTTCCACCAGGCCTATCCACCTGGCTTACACCGTCACCTCCTCCACCGCATTCCACACACAGGCCAGGGGAAGGACTGCGCCCATCAGCAACCAAGACAGAACACCTGACTGTTTACAAACGTCTGCCCCGAGATAACCTTTAACTCTCCAACCGAAAAGATACCCTGAGCTCCTCTTACAACCCAACACTTAAGCTTAGCCAGTCAGGAGCGTCTGCCTAGAGACTGGGCTCTTTCACAAACTACCTCGCAGGGGTCAACTGGGTCGCAGCAGTGGGAGAGATTAGAAGCAGCTTTGGGCCAGGGAGTTTGCGGTCATGAGGGAGGAGCAGCTCAAAAAAGGGGAGCACGGTGGTTACAGAATTTCAGGGAGGTAACCGCGGTCACAGAATTGTACGTTAGAAACGTGACCGGGCCTATGTGTATTGTCAACAACGACACAATTGCAAACAAGAAAAAGGTCTTCCTCTAGGTTCAATAATTACACAATTGGAAACAAAAGATCTTCCTCGTTACTGCAGCCCCACTGGCCTCGGCCCCCTCCCTCTACATTCTTTCAGCAGTTTTCATGTGATAGATGTCTGCCATGCCCCCGTGGTGCCAGCACGTGGGGCTCCTGAAGGGAGAGGTGGTCATCATGACCAGGGACTAGAATAAAAGGCATAGGGTTCCAGGGGAAGGACAATAGGTTCTCCCAGGGCAGTGGACACACTCTGCAGAAGGCTGAAGGGAGTCGGACAGGTCAGGGCAAGGAAAGACAGTCATTCCAGACAGATACCAACAGAGAGCAAGGGAGGGGTCGGACCAGCCAGCAGGGCCGCACTGGTGGAAGTAAGGGACATAGCTTTAGTCCTAAGGGCAGTAAAAGACAGTGGGGTTTTAAGCCCTGGCAGATAAGGACGGGACAGCTATTCTGTCCCATAACAAGCCCCTTGTTTTGCAAAGCTCTGGGGCTCATCGGGGGCAACCAGAGTAGCAACTGACAACACTTCTTGCAGGGCTCCAGCAGGGGGCATCCTAGCCACACAATTGTCTGGATGGTGGTGGGGAACTATTCAAAGACCTGAAAGTGTCACTTATGGGAAATGTCAGGAAGGTTCACATGTGACGCAGGCCACACATCCAGCCAGCTAGCTCAGTGTCCACCCTGGTTGGCCCCTGATTACTGGAGAGACTCCCACTATCTAATTTCTCTCCCCTCATCCTGATAGAAAGCGGGGTGAGAAGGGTGGAAGGGAAGCTCTGAGCCCCACTTGTCCTAAAAGCACTGGGGAGGGCTCTAGCCCAGAACATCACTCAGATTGTAATCTCTGAACAAACTCGGGGGATACCACCTCTGTGGTAGCCCTTCCCTTCTAAAGCCAGGACCATGGCAGCTGCAGTGACACCCTTCCTTCCAGGCATGGCGAGGGGCGTTGGGGTTTCAATCTGGTTGAGAGGGTCAATGACTCCATACTCCATGTTTCTCAGTGTGGGCCATACCACAGCCTGGAGGTCCCGGAAAGACACAAGGGGGGTTGCCAAAGCAGATGCCTACACTTTATCCTGGATTTGGCTACAGTGCAAACATTTTTAATTGCTAGGGATGGGGGGTGGGGGGTGGGCACCGAGTCATTTTTAGTCTGAAAAGTGGGCGATCGCTGCTCTGGGGAGAATGATGGTGCTTTCTACTCCTGTAAAGAGTTAAAGTCTTGGAAACACACAGGGCAGCTCTACCCTGCCCCACAGTGTTGCTATGGGTCGGCATCCGCTCGATGGCAGTGGGGGGAGCCTGTGCATGAAGCTGCCGCTGGAATCTCACACGCCTCTCGTGTGGCGATGGTGTCCAAGCCCGGCCTGCAACAGCGGCTTTCAGTGGCTTCTTCGAGAAGTCCAGAAGGGCGGACCCTTCTACATCTGGAGACAGAGACTTGGGCTCTCATAAGTCACAGCTCTCCTGGGGCAGAGCCAGGCTCCAATGAAGGTTTCACAATGTTTTCATTATCTCTCTTTCTAACAATTCACAGCTGAGAATTTCCAAAATCTAAAATTCGTAGGGCGAGCGCCATCTGAACCCCCCACCCCTCCGTGGACAGTCTTCAAATGCTGGTTTCTCTGAAGGTGCATTCAGGCCACAATTACTGCAGTGGGAGTTCCAGACCCCAGGCAATTATTCTGACAACCATTTGACCTTGGCTACCTGACCCCTGGTGGCACAGTGGGCTCCACACGGAGCTGCTAACCAGGTCTGTGGTTCAAACTCACCAGCCGCTCCTCAGGAGAAGGATGAGGCTGTCTGTTCCCATAAATATAGGATGAAAAGCCTCGGAAACTCAAAGGAACAATTTGACTCTGCCCTACAGAGTTGTTAGGAGTGGGAATTGACTTGATTCGATGGCAGTGAGTCTGGTTTGGAAGTGCAGGCAGATAAACAGTTAGATTTATCTTGGTCTTTTACATACCAAGAAGCTTCAAAAAGTTTGTGAAAAAATTCCATTCTATTTGAATTCCATTTTACCACAAGTTTTGGGAAGCCTTTGTGCAGACGCCAGGCAAAAAAATTAATGGCCCTGAATTTCCAGGTGGGGCATGACAAGATTGATCGCATTTTCAAGTTCATAGCATACCTACTTCTCTCTTAGCAACATGGTTAGGTGCCAAAGATCAGGTCATTTGGGTTATCTGAAAATGGAGGGTGATTCAAACAACTAAAAATATTATTATGGAATAATATAAAAATATGCCATTGCCTTTTGATTTTGAAATTTTACTTATATAACTGAACAATACATGTCACTGTTTTGCCAATAAAAAATGACAAGCTTGAAAAAGAGGAAAAAGAAAATGAAGGATGACCACATCGGTTCACAAAACGTAATGGCACCATTCCATGGCTGCCAAATTAGGTCGTCACATAACTGCCAAACCACGAAGAACCACGGCCCAGCCACGCTGACTCATAAGCTTAGCCGTCACGGTCACAGTTACTATCACCTCACACCCTGGCGTTTGTTGCCGCCACGCCACGCTGGTTCTAAATGTGAAATGCTGAATGACAAGAGAGCTGATACTTGATGAGTGGGCGTACTGTTTTGTCCTCGTAGGAACAGAAGCCTGGAATTTAATTCTATCTCCATGACACCACCGGACATTTGCTGCTCAGGGAATGGGCGAGCAACGCTGTAAGCATTGGTCCCACCTCCCTCCGCTCTCCCCCAGTGTTCTCCGACCACCCTGGTCCCTGCTGTGTGTGCTCTGCTCCATTGACATGGGTCCCTGAGCTGATCCCACGCCTCGAGTGCCTCCTCCTCTACCCCCACATGGTTGGAAGCAAGGGAAAAAAAAGAAAATCATAGGTTCAAATCCTGGCTCTGCTACTTTCC